CTCGTTCCCCATGATTTCCGACCGAGATCTCTCTCATAGGCGGGCGTGTATTTTTTTTCTTTTATTCATCGTCGATCCCCCGGCGATCGAGCACTCTTCTACTATTGATATGTCTGTTTCTCGCGCGGTACCGTCATTTTCCCGATCGTTTGTTCGTTCATTTCGTCCGTCCGTTTGTTCGCGTTCGTTCGTCCTCTTCTTCAGGGAAGAAACGGACCGCTGCTGCTGATGCCGATGCTGTTGATGCTGATGCTGCTGCTGCTGCCGATGCTGATGCTGATGCTTCTGCTGCTCGACGGAGCTAGGACGGCGGCTCGATGGCCGACCACCGATCCAGCGGCGGCGGCAGCCGGGAGCTAAACGATACCTCTGACGTCGTGCTGGATGTGAGGCAGAGTAGTGAGGCCGGTCAATAACAGGCTCAAGATCAGGAGTATCCGGGTCGCGCCGGAGTCGGCGAGGCTCGTGCTGCCGCACGTCTCCTTGGACCCGACCTCCAGTTTCGCTGTAACAGAGTCGCGGGGCGACCGCAGTCGCGAGCTTAATAATTAGCGCTAGGAACTTCCCCGAACGGGGCAAACAGATTCACGAGAGATACAGAAAGTGCCTGTCCTCTTCAGCCGAACTTCTTGCACCGCTCGATGTGGAGAGAAAAAGAGAAAGAATAAAGAAGGTGCAAGAAGTTTTGAAAAGAACTGACCTATACGAGTAAGTACTTTTGGTGTACTAGAGACGTTTGTCGATATCCCAATCACTGAGATATCGTAGGTCTACATTGTTTTCGTCGCTTATCTCTTATATAAGATCCTTTATGTAGAAGTAGTGTTTACTCTCTAAATCGTTTGGAGTAAAAATTGAGTCAGTCTTGAAAAGAGAGAGAAAATTTTTTAACAATATAGATTTTCATTTTTTTTTGGAGTAAGATCTTTTTGAGTAAAGTCTGAATTCACTCTAAAGGAATAAAAAGTTTTTTACTCATTTTTTTTTTTTTAATAAGACTTCATTCCTTGGAGTGACTTTCATTCCTTTCAAAGTGAAATCTTACTCCAAAAGAATGAAATTTCATTCCCACACAAAGTGTGAAAATCTGCCACGTTTAATTAAAGAGTGAAAATATTTTCACTTCTTTTTCAAGACTGGCTCAATTTTCAGTCTTTTGAAGAGAGATTTTACTCTAAAAGATTTAAAGAATAACAAAATCAGATGCGTGTGTACATATAGAATATGAAACTATTTTTACAATTTATGAAACAATTGATACTTTTCTTTGATTGATCTCCTTTTGTCCTGGAATTCTTTTATGTAAAAATGTATAATATATATATGTGCTCTGTCGAAACAAAGCCCTATCCTTTCTATATAATTATAATGTAATTATAATAGCAAACTACGAATACACTTTGAATCATGGAAGCTGCAGCATCGATTTTTCTGTTATTTTGCTGCACTTTTTTATAAATAAGATAGCAACAAATATCGCAAGCGTAACGTGGGATATTCCTATTGATCGAACGATTTCTATTCGAACTTTAATTGTTCAGGTATATTAACCCTTAATTGGTCGCATGGGATCAATATGTGAGCCGGTCGTAATTCTTCTGTTATCTTTAGACTTGTTCGTTTACCTTTATTCCCTAAAAGCACTTTCTACATTTAAAATGTATATTCTGTTATTCTAGAGGTTAAAAAAAGAATAAAAACAAAAAATCTAATATAATGTGAATAAGATGAATGGACTTATATTACATCACGTGATTAGTACAAAGTTGATAATATCGCGAATAATCAAAATAACTTTGATACATTTGACGATAAACATATTTGCATATATAATATTATATATACATGTAATTATTTTGAAAATCTATATATGTATATATACAAAAATTTTATTTTAATCTAAGATGCAGAGATAACGAGATAACTCAAATGGCATAAAAAGACTTAATTGCTTCTACAAAATAACATAATTTAATATTGTAAATTGTATAGTTGCAATTTTTTGTATTATGTATATACAACTCATTTTCCAATTTTTTGGTACAATATTGAATCTCGGATCAAGCTGCCTTGACGAGATAATTTTAAATTAAAACTTCGAAGCACTTGCGCGCATTCAGCAAAGGAAACTCTACGTGCCTTACGAAATAATCTTCGTTCTTCCATCGCCAGTATCGGCAAGATAGGCAAATTTCGCAGCGTGCGTCGTAAGATCGACGTGTCGGGGGACGCGGGGGATGGCGACGTGGAGTGAGACATGACAGCGGTGATACCGAGAGGAGGGTGGAAGGGGTGGCTTCTCGATTGCGCGCACGTTCGCCTTGGCGCGGCGAAACAAAACGAACAAGCGGAGCCGAGTAAACGGGGATAGTATACCGGACCAGCAGCACATGCCGAGGGGGTGGTTGTGGTGGTGCTGCTGGTGCTAGCGGTGGTGATGGTGGTGGTAGCAACCGCCAGGCAAGCAGGCAGGCAGGGCGCGGATCGATGCCACGGGTAAGTAACTCGCTCGCGTCGAAACCGCGTCGCCAACTCCGCACGAGCTTGCATTGCACGTGCGAGCTTGCACACGCTGTCGCCGAAGAAATATCTCAATACGTCGGAGAGACGCCGGTCGTTTAACCCCTCTTTACCCAAGAGACACCCCTATCCTCCCGCGACCCGCCGCCGCGTCAGAATAACGTTACCGCGAAACCGCTAACCGATTAACGCTCGAGGATATGAGTCTTGTATGCTGAGAACACTTCGATAAATCACGTATATAGGGTTACCAGCTCTAGTACTCTTTTAACCCCTTCAAACCTATATAATTGTAATGTACATTAAATTTGAAGACATGATCTATTATTTTGAAATTATTTAACATCATCTGAGATCTAATTACCGACATTATCTGAGATCTGATTAACGACATCATCTGAGATCTGATATACATAAAATGTATACATCGGAAAAATAGTCAAAATTATGGAAAAAAATCTGTTTAATATAAAATACTTATTAAAGAGTGCGCATAAATTGAATTAAAAAAATTTTTTAACATAGTTGCAATAAAATCAGGTATAAAAAAGTTAAAAATACATATGTTCCAAGGAACACATAAAAGTCAACAAAAAATCGAAATAACTTTGATATGATTTGATATCAATAAACAGTCAAATTTTGTAACAAAGAATTATCATTTCGATTTTTATGATGTCAAAGTGACTTTTTTTTTTAATTAATGTGTTTCTATCGTTCTTGGAAACGTATTTTGAGATTGTAAAACTTCTAATCAATTAATTTTCTTCTAATTAATTATGCATTTAGAAAATTATATTAATAAGAAATTAAAAATTATTAATAAAAAATTATGTTTAGAAGTTTTATTTTATTAAATATTACATTTAATATACCATATAATAAATTATACCCGTTTCTTCTACTCTTGGATCGTTTCTTTTTTTAATATACAATATGTATTCTTTTCTTGTGATTTAGATATGGTAACCTTAGGCGCGTAGAACATGCTCCCGATCGATTTGCCGTTTCGCACATATGTTGAGGGGTGAAACGACGCGTACGCTTCGCAAATGAATTTACGATTTCAAATTTTTATGTTTTATTGGCGCCCGATAATGATAAGTACTCTGACTCGTGGCAAAAGTGCGTCACTGTTGTTTTTATTTTCACACTACATTCCAAAATCGGAAAATTGCCTGCACGATTTCCTTTCTTCTTTTTTTATTTTTTTAAAACGCCTGTCCATATATTGTTTTTATATAATTATACGTAGCGTAAACAATAGTGTTTTATAATCGATTCGGGTGGAAAGAGTGGTGCGTAGGGATTGTTTTCATTTTACTTTTATATCTTGGATTTATACTTTCGCTTTTCTTTTCCTTTCCTTTCTTTTTTTTTAATTACCGGTAATCGACGCGATGAGTTTATAATCTCCAAATAAAGTAGTTAACGTTGAAAAAATATTTACTTTATTAATACATAGAGCATTTATTTATTTATTTACATATTTATTTATTTATTAATAACAAACAGTTAACGCGAGAGAGGTATCGCTCAAAGGTTTAGGCTTCATTAACTTTTATTGTCTAAAGAATTTTTTTTCAGAAACTGTCGCTAGTATCTTTAAAATATTATAGGAAAGTGAAATTTTTCGATCGTCCCGTCGTTGCAAGTTTTATCAAGCGCCAAAATGCCGATAATGCTAAGTAAATATTTAATTAAATTTCACAGTCGGGACTAGATGTTTTATATCAATGTAATAAAAAATGTACATATATACTTTAAACTTTTACTTCTGTGTATACAAAGAACTAAAAACAATAATAATCATATCAGTATAAAAAAATATATGTATATCATTATATAATATACGAATATATATAAGTATATTTTTTTATAATATTTACTATTATATATGTATATACGAGCATGCAAATAAAAATAAAATACATATATACACTATAATAAAAAAATATATACAGTACATAATCATATACTGTTCTTGTAACAATCATTTATAGCGCTAATATACGAAACTGAACGTCACATTCGCAAGCCGATAAAATACCGTCGTCCATGACAAATTTAACGCTAATAGCGTCGTGTGACGTCTCTCGACATTTCTCACGCGGGAAATGTTTTCCCTCTCGTTCTCCCTGAACGTATTTCCATATTATACGAAATTTACGGGAGTTCGTTATCGCAGCCCTTTCTCACCCCAATCATCCCTTTGCGTTTCCTACGTCATTCTTCTTGTCACGGCGTGTCACGAAGGAGGAAAGAGAAGGGCGGGAAACGATAGAATCCTCTCCCTTTAACGAGAATGATATTTTCGTTCGCTCACGTGCGCACGCACGTGACGGAGAAAAAGGGGTAGTTTTTCACGGTAACAACTGTCTATTAAGGCGTTCTATTGTCGTACAAAGCGATCGTCGTGTAAAACGTCGGTGGCACACTACTTTCGTGACCGCGATGACACGCTACGCCATTTAATCTCGACGGCCGTGCGTGCGTTACCGCGGCCGAGGATTTTATCGTAATCGTAATTATCATATAAAGCGACGTTGTTGTTCGAGCAGGTACAAATTTCAGACTCTTATCGCGAACGCGAACTTTACCTGTGCATACGACCGGCAATGAAAGTCTATTAACGTACCCGCACCCGCCCAGGCGATAAAGCTCTCGTGGTGTAAAAAGATGAACACGAATGAACTTGAACGAATTCTTATCGTCGAAAGTCCCTACCCTCTTTTCATCCACTATGTAATGAAGCTATAGCATAACAGCGAACAACTTAATTAATACATGTTTTGGTGATTTCTTATCGGAACTACGCGTGCAAAATTTATAATTATATCGTGGAGAATTAAAAGACTTACTTAACAAATACATTTTTCTCTATTTCATAAAATTTATTTGTAATAATTAAATTTAAGAATTCAAACATTCATTATTTAAGGTTTTTTCTTTACTGTTGAAATCTAGAATTGTTAATTTTTTTCTGCTTTTCTTAATAAAACATAATGACGGACAAATTAATACATGTTTTGATGGCTCATCTTGCTTTTTGTTAGAAGTATTTTGATTATATAAGTATTCATTATAAGAATTTCGTTACACAATAAAAGAACGAAAAAAATCCGACAATCACAATTGACCGCAAAGAAAGAGTGGGCTACGAAGGATTGGAGGTCTCATAAGACATCCTCGCGAAATCTCTCGTCATCAAAGCCGCGCTCGCGCCGGCCCTAAGTGGGACACTTGGCGAAGCGCACTTGATAGCAGTTCTGAATAAATGATGTAAACTCGAGTGTCAGCGTTGGAGTGTTGCCTCGTACAATAGTATATTCCTTCCAAGCTGCGAGCCGACACACGATGTTTCATGGATGTCTCGTGATCACCAAATCGCGATGTGTTTCATATTTGGTGAATATTCTTTTGTTTTTCCTGCCTCCCCTTCCCCTCATTTTCTCTCAAAGAAAATTGCATTTTTAATTTCCTTTATTTATTAATCAAATTTTACGTATGACAGCTTTTGCGATATGGCGCTCGATGGCCTGCACGTCATGAGATCCCTGCGAAGGGATGAGAGGCTCGCTCCAAAGTTGCAGTTCGCCGGAGAACGATCTCTCCGAGTCGGTCCCCGACCGTTGCGAGAACAATCAAACATACTTGGCGCTCAACAGGTGTCACACACAAGACAATTCGCGCGGTAAGTAACGCGTCGAGGACCTCGGCGGTTCGATGAATCGCGACCCTCGTTTCCGTTCGCGTGTACGAGTAACGTCGCCTATGCAATCATTGATCATCCGGTCTGGGAGATGATTGCCAGCTGCTGTTCGCGCAGAAGACGCAATTGTTACGCAACTGCATGATGATTGTATTTTTTAAAGCTACGCCTAGGATTGGTCATGTGTATGGCCAGGATTGTTGGAAATGTCCCGGAATTCGAAGGCTAATCCCGTGTTTAGTAATTGAAGTTTTCTGCCTCGGAAATGTATAATTTTAATCAAATTTTTTTAGAATTATCTCATATTTTTGGGCCATTTCTCCGACTGCAGCCATCAATCGCAACACTTATATTGTATTAAAGATAAGATTTATATAAATACAAAATGTGATTCTCTCTCTCATACATCACTTGAGTGCGTCCACAGTACTATGTTGTAGCTTGTGTTTACATAGAGTTGTCACAAATTCTTCATCTCAAAATTTCATAACTTTTCCTTGATTTCCAGGGAAATTTAAAATTTCATTGATTTCATTTTTCCTGATGTTTTCATATTAAAAAATTTATATTTTTAACCGTTATATTTTGATCGTTTTCAATTTCCTTGACAATTTTTCGATTTTCTTAATTTTTAATTTTGTGGCAATCCTAATCAGAGTTCTCTTAAAAATTTTTTTAAGAATATTATATATCCTAATTTTCGATTCGCTTTTCCATAAAAAAAAAGTTATTTTAATTTAATGCGACCTCAATGTTGAATTTAAAAATAATTAATGTAAAAATTTAATATTTGAGTTGGTTCACTTTTTAGAATCTTACTTGATTTAAGTTTAGATCGACATAACACACAAAATTGATTTCTATCTATAATTAATTTAAAATATGTACAAAAAGACTATTTTTAAATATTATTTTAATTAGAGAGAGGCCTAAATTTGTATTTATTACTTTGACAGATAAATCAACGCTATCTTTAAAAAAATGATCAGTGTTCAATATAAATATATGATTTATGTGGAGACTTCAACTGATACTAACTGATTTAACTCAAATATCTACTTCAATAAATTCATTTCAACCATCGCCTCAGATATATCACGGAAATGTTGATATTTATAGATCTAGCAACCCTAGATGCATTGCGTGTTTCTAGATTCTCAAGATCCGATTGTTTGATCGCGTTGCCATATTTTCCGAGGGTGGTTGGTTTATCTGTCACGCGGGGAAAGAACTGGTCTCGATGGAATACTTACACGTGGCGCCGAGCAGCTGCGGCAGATACTTCTTCCAGAAAGTGCACTGCCTCACCCTGGGACCGCTGCCGATCTCCGTGCTGTTGATGTCCAAGGTCAGGTACTCTTTATTGACGGCGGTATGCGACGGCCAGTAAGCCAGGGACAGCTCGCCGCTCTCGTCGATGTTCGGATCCCTGACCGATCACACAAATCACATCGTCTAAATATATCGTCGTCTCGACGCGGTACCAAAATATCTTCAAGAGATTTCAAGGTATTTTTAAAGTAATTTATACGGACTGACGATGGCGAATTAATTTAAACCAAATTCCACCCTTCTTTATATTTCAATGAAATTTCGCATCTATCAAAAAAGATCCAGATTGTAAACAGAGAGTAAAGTAAACTAAAGACGAAACCTTGTTATTTTTAAAATCTAAAATTGTAATATTCTTAAATTCATTAGTAAATACATCTCTATTTTTATAAGTTAAAATAATATTTCTTGCGATGAAATAAAACAGAAAAATATTTTTACAGTTAATGAGTATTAATTAATTAATAATTTTCCGATTGAAAAAATATTTGTTTATATTTTATATTCCTACTATTTCTACACTAATAAAAAAAGCAAACATCAATATAAGTATTGCGTGTGCCGAACACTAAAACACATTTACTATTTCAAAAGTTATAAATATATACGTATGACGTATATTGCTTTATATTTAATTATATTTAAAATCAAAATATAATTTTTTAACATTATTTGTATATAGTATATTGTGTATTGTCTCAAATTATATATAATCACAAAAAGCTTTTTATGTAATATGTACACAATTTTCATAATTTTTTTTAATTAGAGAATAAAATTGTATGTGTAAAAAAGATGAAATTAACTACGCATCTTACCCCGTTTTTGCGAAGTTCGCCCAGTATCTCATCATTCTTTTCGAGAGCTGCATCTCTTCGTGCGTGTAGCCCTTGGACGTGTCCAGCGGTTCCCCGAAGATGTAGCTTATCTCGTCGGCGTGCATGACTCCGGTCCATCGCGGCCATGGATTGTTCCTAGATCTGATGCAAATCATGTTTTTAAATCCTACATAGTTCAGGAAATGGTAAATGTCCGTCATGTTAACTATCTCCTTTTTAAATATGTCACTCTCTAATTCGAAAGTGATACAACTCGAAAATTAAGTTTTACAAAAAGAAAAGAAAATTTGTCAGTTGGACAGAAAATTATTAACTAAATAATATCTCGACAGTATTGAAATAATAATAAAATTAACTATATATAAGGACTCTTGATACTTCCTTAATATTATCGAACTTTCTTAATAATATATCGAGATATTTAAAATTGATTTCTTTCTTTACCTGTGCTTGTAATAGTACATATAGACAGTGTGGCCGGTGTCGGCGTATCTGCCGGCGAATTCGTTGACGTTGCAAGTGAACTGGTAGTCGCCGACGATTTTATCAAGGGCGTCGCGATTCGCGTGCGGATCCTCCGGATGTAGCCAGTCGCTGTACTCGTAGATGATGGCGTGACGGCCAATTTGATTCACATAGGGATTCAGTTCGGACACGGCGCTGATGAACTGATCGCGCGTCACCTTCACGTCCTCAGCGCCATCGATGCGAAACAGTTCCGTCAGATAGTAGATGATAAAGTAGAAGCCCTCCTCAGTGTTGGAGCCCATCAGGATGTTGGTCTTCTTGAAGGACGTCGTGGCGAGCGAGCGTTGAGGCGTCTCGTCGAGGAATGCGCCGTCGATCACCGGGACGAACGGGAATTCGCAGATCCCAAGGGTGCCCCACTCGTTCTTTACTAGCTCCTCCGCGTCCTTCGTCAACAAGCAGTCGATCGCCTCGCGCAGATTGTGGCGTTCATGTGGACAACCGACCGCCTCGGCCAGCCGGATGCCACGCACAAACGATTCGTCGCGCGAGATTATCGCCCATGGCGCGGTCGCTGAGCCTGATTGCATGATGGCTTGGTTGAACAAGTGCCTGAAATAGGAATCGCAGGTTCCTTCCTTTAATGAAAGAGATTTTTTATTTCTATCACCTTTATAATGTATATACTCTCTAAAACTTTTAGTGTGAATTGTCACTCAAAAGAGTGAAATCTCCTTAAAGATTGTAAAGTAAGCTACTCTTTTTCAAAACCAGCTTAATTTTTACTCTTTTGAGTGAGATTCCACTCCAAAGAATTTAGAAAGTAGATGTTAAATTCAAATATTGCTAAGTTGATAAGAAAATGTCACAATTGAAAATTAATAATTTTTCGGTAGAGCATTTTTTAAATTTATTTTTTATTAATATCGATTTATTTTAATATTATTTGTATTATATTGACATATTTTCAATATTCTGTACTGCACATTTAGGATAAAGAAACGAAATGTTTTTTATGATTAATGGAGTCAAAATGATAGTGCGTTAAATCATAATGTATTCTTTGAAACTTTAAACTATGTCATAAGTGTTCGAACATTCGAACACTATAGGATTTATGTAAATTTCATCCCTTATCAAAGTGTGACACTTTTCTGTATTAGAAATGTGTTATCCAATTTATCATTTTTCCATAATATATTAATCGTTTTTTAGATCGATTTCTTTTTATTATCTAAAGAATGCTAATTTTTTATTTACATCATCAGGAGACACAGTAGTGTCTCGACGCTAAGACATTTTTATTTACGTCATTTTTCTATCGACGCAGCGCAAATGGCTTTAAAACATGTATTTTTATATGCATGTGTATCTTAAATAAATAAAGATATAAATATTATATAAGTAAAAAAAATATATATTAAAAAATATATATTATTTTTTAAGTTACATATAACTAATATATAACGTATATATTTTTTACATTACAGTATATAATCGTATATTTAAATATATTTATCCAAAAGATCTTTTTTTATTCCCCCTTACTGACTTGTCTACTTTTTAACCCCAGAGTAGTAACCTGGTTTTTTTTTACGTAAACGATCACCTGGGGTGTCTTTACACTCCATTTAATATCTATTATTAACAACATATTGCATATTATTGATTGTTTTCTTATTTATTATGTATTTGAGAACATATATTATAAATATGAATTTAATCACAATTTTCTAAAAACATGTAAATGGAAACCAAGCAAATATATAATATATAGAAGTACATTATATGTATTATAAATAGCTTATTGTAACAATATTTCCAAAAATAAAGATTTTAATTAATATAACATTTTTTATTGCGCGTTTTCAATAGATTTGTATATTTAAAGTTTTACAAAGAATAGTTGTTAAAGAAGGAAGCAAATATATTAAATAATGCCCATACAAAATAATACTTTATAACACTTTACGTTTCCTCGCGACTGAAGCATAAAAACAGCCCAGCTGACTATTCCCGGATTAAAACTGACCTGGACAGCGGAGACAAGAGGTGCAAGGAGACGGAGACCGCGCCCGCGCTCTCGCCGAAGAGCGTCACGTTCTCGGGATTGCCGCCGAACGCGGCGATGTTGTCGCGCACCCATTGCAGGGCCATCATCTGGTCGAAGAGCCCAGCATTACCGGGCACGTCGGACGTGCCAAAGTACAGGAAGCCGAGACTAGCCACGCGATATTGCATTGACACCACGATTACGTTCTCTTCCGATACCAGAGTCTTGTGATCGTATACATCGAGGGTGGCCGAGCCGGAATAAAAGCCACCTGAAAAAAAGAATCGCAGAGATCTTTGCATGGGTTTCGCGGCCGCAGCGGCGCCAGCATGTATATGTAATATTTGTTTTTTTGTAATTGTCTTCTTTGCGATCTTTTGATCTCAAAATCTTATCTCAAGAAAATCATTATAAATATTAAAAAGTAAAGAATCATTTTATCATGATAATTATTATTAAATGTGTATAACATACTCGTATAATTATTATTTTATTTATAATCAGCAGATGATTATAAATAAAATGAGATTTTATTAAATGTATTTATATATTGAATATCTAATTATATTTAGGAATTTCTTATATTTATATAAATTCTACTTTAACTTCGTGATATGTTAGAGTTTTAAAGAGTTCCCAAAATCACACATTAATCACTTGAATTGAGCGAAATAAATTTTGTGATATAATAATTCTTATTAATATAATAATTTTTAAAGGTGAATTATAACTACTATTACTTAGGTTGAAATAGGAAGACCTTCAATGAAAAAATAGTACCATTTGGATTTTACTTTTGTACAATAAAACTTTTTTCAAAGAGTGCGTATTTTTAGCGCCTTTCTAACCTCTTTTTTTAAAACGTAAGTTTGTACTGTATAACTTATATGAATTTTTTTCTCACGTATTGAGGTATCGGTGTCAACACGCACATAATTTCACCATTTGATACTCCCTAATAGTGCAATTCATTCGGTGATTTTTTCTTCTAGTGTGCGTGAGGTCACGCGTCACAGCTAAAAATATCTCTAATTGAACAACGTTCGGAAATTAAATTTTATTTTGCTATATAAGCTGACAGAGGTATCAATCAGGCCGCAACAAGCGTATGGTGACAGGGCAATAAAAGAATCACAGATTTATAACTGGCATAAACGACAGCATAATGCTTGCTGACATCATTCAGAGCGTGACGGCGGAGTTGAAAGGGATTTGACAAAGTAGCTTTTAGGAGTGCTTCCGATTTTGCAACTGGTGAAAAAAACGCGAAGTCGCGTGAGGAATGTCAAGGTCGCAATGTCTCATCAGGATTATTATAAAACTGAAAATTAAAGAAATCAAGGAATTATCGAGAAAATTGAAAAAGTCGGAGAAAAGCAAAGAAGAGTCAGAAAATTTTGCAAAATTTTTTGGAAAATTAAAATTCTTAGTTTTAAAGAAATTTAATATAACATACATTATCTTATATTCTATGCGATTTTTATTGTCAATTTAACCATTAAAACTGTAAGCAGTATCAGTAATATTAAAATGCTATGCTAAATTGATCTTTCAACAAAATATTTGATAGTTTCCAAATCAGAATAAAAATACAAAGTTTTCAAAATATTATTGAAAGTTAAAAAATATCATGAAATTCTGTCTGAAAGAGAAAGGCCATAGAATTTTAGGTGGAAAAATTTAGAATGGAAATGCAACCCGACTCATGTTTTGGAAAAATAAAACGATTTCGGGAATTCTTTAAAGCTGTTCTCCTCCCCCTACGTGAGAAACGGAGATTTTATCGACAAAATCACGCTTAAATTGCATGCTCGAGAACGGATCGAGATGATGGATTCTCATCACTGGGAACTCACCACCGAATATCCATACCATGACAGCAGCGTTTTTAGGCCTGGGCTGCGGCACCACCACATTCACGTACAGGCAGTCCTCGCTCAGCGGAGTATTCGGGTTCCACATGGTGGCGCCGGGGAAGTCGCCGAACACCGTGTCCAGGATCTGCACACAGCTGTTCGGCAGGGTGGTCGCGTTCAGCACGCCCGACCAACGCTCGACCGGTCGCGGATGGCGAAACCTCAGCGGGCCTATGAATTGGAAATTCGCGAGTGAAAACTTTCTCGAAATTAACTGGAGAACGCGGCATTATTATCTACATTGGAAAATAGGTCTTGTTGATTTAATCGAAATTCTAGTAGATTCAAATCCGAAAGAAACAAACCAGATACTTTAAGATTCATATATGAATAAAAATGTTATATGAAATATATTATATGAAACATTTCAATAAAGTCAATATTTATGTTTAACACAATACAATTTTTAATTTAAGTGTTGTTATTTAAATATAAATAGTTTTAAATGAAAATTTTCTTATTTTATTTTAATTACTTTTTAAAAGCATACCACTTCTTATTTATATATAATAATTTCGTGTTCTGATTTTTGCCGTCAAATTTTTTGTATTTTAAATATAACATAGAAAAATCTATAATTATCATAATTTTTTCCTTTTTTTTTTAAATATGTATATGATACATTTTAAATTTATCAATTTACGTAGTTGATATAATCTGCAAACAATTACGATAATCAGAATCATAAATTGTCGTGTTCGTACTTCTTGTTGATATAATATTTTTCTCAGTGTAATTCATGAACAAAGTCTCCTTTTTTTTAAATTACCATAAATCGACTCTAAGTTCCAAGCATATTATTTCAAGTATTCGAAAGATATAATTTTCGACGAAGATTACGCGATCGAGGTTGAACGAAACTTCTTTCATCCCACATCTTTCATTCGTTATATAGCGAAGAATACTCGCTACATCCTAAGCCGATCACGGCTACGAGCACAATTCTTAGTCCGAGAGAGCGCTATTTTCCTTTGCTTCTCCCCGCTTCATTTGCGAGACAAATAGACTAATATGATAGATTGCGCATTCAAATGTGGCAGCTGAAGACAACACATGAAGGACAGAAATATGCGTAATCATCATACATTGCACAATTGAATGAGAAAAGTATCTGATCAACTATTGCCCTTCCTCACTAATACCAGATAGCAAAATAAATATTTTAATAAAGTATTTTTGATTTTGGAATATTTAAATCTAATGTTCTATATATAATATATACAGAATCTCTTTATTATAAAAAATTCATATTCACATAATATAAAAATAATATAAAAAACATTCATATAACGTTCCGCAGAATATTTGTCAAATTAATTGTACGTATGCAGTGTGCTAGCCTTACTTTGTGGACAAGATCGGGCCCAGACATGCTTAAAAATACCCCAAGAAGAAAGAAAGCCAAAATAATGTTAATTTAACGTCATATTAATCGATCATTATTAATTAAATGTATGTCATTTTTTTATCTTTCTGTCAATATGACATTATTTTAACTTTGTTTTCTTATGATAGCACATATTCTACAAAATATTATATAAAATATTCTAGAAATATTCTCTCATAATTTATCATTGTGTCATTCAAATATACTGTAAACGTATTAATATTTGACAATGTTTTCGGTACATTCGTAGAATATACGAATATTGTTAAAAAATGATAGGATATTCATAGAATGTTTGTGTGCTATTTGAGAATGTTCCCAAATAGCAAGATGACGTCAAACAATATCTTAATAACAACATCTTAATAACGTCTTTAATGTCATTAAAATATCACCTTGCTACTTGGACTGTTTCCCACATTTCCCCATTGAAAGCGTAATCTCTGATACAAATTGATGTGCGGGACTCACCGATGGGTTTTTGGGCGTAGGGTATACCAAACCAGGCGTCGACGCTCTTGCCGGTTTTCGCGACCATGGTTTTGCCGCGGACCATGCCTTTTCTGGTGCGCACCACCAGCGGATCGTCGGAGTGGCCGACGAGAGCGGCCGGCCGTGGGAGCTCCTCGCTCGACCTGGAACTCCTGGCGTCCTCGTGCGACGTCTCCTGCGCGGTGTGCAGCTCGTGCTCGTGATGCCTGCTCCGGTGGGACGGCGAACCGAGGCAAGGATCCGGCTGCAGGACGAGGAGCAGGAACAGGCTCAGTACCAGCAGGGCCTCCAGTCTGCCGGTCCGCCAGGAACTTGAGTTTCTCGACATCGTGCCTGCTCGGCTGCAAGAGAGAATAAGAATCGCGCGCATTTCGCGCATCACTTATCGTGCACGCGGAGAGGGAGAATTGTATCTACAAATATCTTACGAAAGTATAATAACGATCGATAGAAATGAAATGAAATGAAATTGAAATTAAATATCTACACGTATGTTCGTAATACACGCGTCTTTTCTTCTCCGATCTGTCAATTTCGCGAAACTATTGTAATTATTTTTCGCTTAGAACAAATTAAATGTAATTTTAGAACATCTATAATTTGTGTTGGAATTCAAAATAGAATTCTATTTATAATTTTCTATGCCATACAATATGAAAAACGTTTGAAGAGAATCAAAGAATCTTTGCATGAATAAAATACGCTTTAAAATGTACATATGTACATCAATATATAAAATTATAAATAGAATTCTATCTTGAAATCTCACGTGAATAATATATCGCCTAAAATGGACTTCGCGTGTGTGTATACAGCGTGAATGGAAAATGGGCAAATTATTTGGTGTAAAATGTTTAAAAAGCGGTTATTCGAGAGAGTCGATCCACGTGTAGCCTTTAATTACTCTTGGCTGTATACTATGATACACTGTGTCGAAAATGTTGCGGAGATGGAGAATTGGAAAGGGTTAATCCCTACCGGAAACTCGTTCTTTATCTGGCAAATAATAAATTCGGTTTCTAAGCGCCGGGACGTTTCGCTACTCGCGCAGTAAAACCATCGTATAATATATACAACATTTGTAAAACGATGCTGGACGGGATGCGTTTGCGAATAACAAATGGCTGTTTCGGGCACGCTATTGATAAATACATTAGCATAACGTACACAGGTGATACGTAGCTCGTGAGAATAAATCTGCGATACAGCTGCATTTCGCGAAACGCATTGCGGTAAAAAAAGACTAGAGACCCTCGAGTGAGAGGTTGCATCGGTTAAACAACTTCTGATTGGTCCACCATATTTTTCAGGACCTGCTTGAGCTAAAATAAGACGCGTGGATATCTCATTCTGTTTCATGCATAATCTATCTTTTTTTTTTTAAGCGGATCCTGAAAAATATAGCAATATGGTGTCCATTTTACTCAAGAATTTCTATCTAGAAAAAAGGCTATTCTTAAATCAGCAATAATATACTCACCTATAAGCAAATACGTTATAACCTTACTTCAAAGATTTTTTTAGTTCGTTTGAATTTGCGTTTAAGTATTGTATTACTTCGATCAAAGATCTTACAAATTTATTTTTAATCAAATCAAGACTGAAAATCTTTAAAGCAAGATCATAATATTTTTTACTTATATACAATCGTATTATGATTGACTTAAGAATAATCTTTTTTTTTGTTTGTGTATAGGAAAGGCCTCATTCGCGGCCGTTACGACATCCAAAACACAGACGTGTCTCATAAAAACATAACGATCGAGCGGGATAAGATCGAGCTTATTTTCAACTTTGCGTTGCGCCCCGCACATCTGACGTAAACATGCCTGTAATGTGAAAAATGCAAGAACAAGGAAAATGCTCCAGCGGTACATAACGTATGTCGCGAACGCATTTATTAATTTCGAAGGGGATCCGCCGCGTGCGGTTTAAAAGGAACCGCCAGAGATGTGATTTCCGAAAGATTTCCCGTCGAGCATCCTTCTTTCCTGAATAACCCGCGTGTTCTAGAAAATCATCCTCTGCCGTGTGGCACAAAATTACCCCCGCAGGGACAAAGTAACCCTATCTGACCGTAATTCAAGCCGCGGTTTCCAGCGCATCCGAGAGAGAAACCGCGCCGGTAATTGAGATTATTTGAGTTAACTAAGCTAATTTAATTAATAGCACGTTATTTACGTCGAATTATTAGCCATGGATTAGATTAGCGTTTAATTATTCAAATTGATTGGCTTGGATTAATTTCACTGAGAGGAAGGCAACGAAACATACATGATTTTTTAAATTCAGAGAATATTGAAATAGCTCTTTCCACTCAGAGAATATTTGAATAATGATATATCGAATAGATGCGTTAAACTTAACGCTTTTCTCGTGAATAAAAATACGCCGATAATTTTGTTTCTCGAAAAAATGCAGACGGAAATGTTGGGGTAATTGTTATACGACTGGATACAATTTTGGCGTCATTAGATAGGAACGGCTGTTGCAAATGATTTATCTCGTTTAAATTTTAAATGACATTTTCGTTCTTTACGTGCTCGTCTTTCTCTTTTCGTCTATTCTCGCGTTTCTTCCGCCGAGCATTCATGATACTTCATAATAAGGTCGTTACATAACTGACAGACAGACGACAAGTGTCCTCGCTTGTCGTTTAAATCTTTCGGCATAATTTTGCAAATTGGAAGAACATTGAATTTCTGCAGCCACCTCTTTATCCGTAGTGACACATCCCAAATTCGTTCACTTAAATGCTATTCACAACGTTGGATTCGTTACTCGAGAATTCACGCGATGATAGAGATATTCTCCCACGACCGATAATTTTGCGCGTCCATCCTCAGGAACTGAATATTATAACCCCATACATGTTCACACACGTGTGAATATAGGTACTAAAAACTTTGTGCGCGTCACACGTTGATATTCTCGATAATAGAGTCCCGGGAATACATAGGGCGTCTCGAGATTACAGATTAAAGTGGATTTTGTTTTAACGTATAGGGTATATAATGTCATTGAACGCCTGACTTCGATAATGGCGGATGGTTCAAAGTTATCCCGTACACAGCGCGAGGCTTTTTTTTTTAGCTCACGTTTTACACTGCAGCAACGTCGCAATCCTGCAAACTGCAGGGACATTACAGAACCATGCAAATGAAAAATTCTGACAAGGTTACGGTAATATTGGAAGTTTGCAGGATATTAAAAATAGAATAAGGTTCCATAATGCTTTCTACCCTACGTGTCGAATCTGATCCCCCGGATTTCAGACTGCGATAGAGAAGATGGCGGGAAATGTATAAAAATTACGCTAAGCCTAAAAACATTCCGATTAATCGTGGATTTCGATTTAAGCGAGAGATCGAATAACGTACTTGGGGAATGATGAAGGAAAATTTAATTTTAAGTTTGTATAACAACGTTACAATACAAGATGAATCGTCACGTTGCTGCGACATCACATTGCAAGCTTACAGTAATGCAGCATTATTCACAAATTGCTGTGTTCAGCAGAAAAAGTAACTTTGCAGTTGAGATTCTTTAATACGGTTGGTTTGTACAATTAGATTCAGCATGAAGAAGGAACGAAGAACAAGAATACTAGAGAATCTTACAATCAAATTATGGGGTTGTCAAATTTCTTATTCTAAAGTTTCATAACTTTTCCCTGATTTATAGATAAAATTTCATTACTTTCTCTGATGTTTCCAATAATACTTTGAAATTCTTTTTGTATTTTTGTCCTGATTTGGAAACTGTCAAATGTTTCGTTGAAAGAGCAATTTACATAAAATCTTAATTACTATTAATGCTGTTGCAGACACTGCTTGCATTCAATTGTTAAGTTGGTAGTATTCCACACAAAGTGTAACGTATAAATTTTTTAAATATAATATTGAACTTCAAAAGTACAAGAAGATTTTGCAGATTATCGTCGTGTTTTTATCCATTGCTAATGCCAATGTTTCATGTAAGATTTATGAAACGGCATGCTGTTCACTTCATTAGAGCGAGGAGCGCGCTAATACTGTGAATGATACTTCAGTACACGAAACATTGGCATTAGCAATGAATAAAAACGTGGCGATAATCCGCAAAGCCTCAAGTACTTTGAAGATAATACTTTGAAGATAATATCCGTGAAAGCCTCAAAAGCATATATTAAACTTTTATATACATACATGTTAAACTTCTTTAAAAAGCTAAGAATTTTGATTTTCCAGAAAATTTTGCAAAATTCCATATTTTCCCTGACCGGTTTCAATTTCCCTGATATTTTCTCGATTTCTTTGATTTATGATTTTGTCGCAAGCCTGTATCAAAGAATCTTACAACAATTGCCAAGCTGCTTTTTCTGTCAAACACAGCCAACGATCGTAATTACGATCTTGCAATAAAACATTTCTTTCTGCAGATCCGCGCTGTGTTTGCGATTAAAAAATCATGCGTTATATCTAAACGGCAGATATACTTTGACAAATTTCAAATGGGATATTCTGTTTCTCGTTAATATTAAACAATAGACTGATTTAGTGTAGGGTACAAGGCATCCTGTTTCACGCGCATTATTTTTTAATATGGAGTCGATTTCTCTTCGGCGAACCTGTCGTGGGTGCTCATCATTTTATCACGGCTCTTCAAATTTTTAACATAATGTTACTAATGTAACTCTATAAGCCTTGAATTAAAATTCCATCAAAGTAAACTCCATCTGAGAGGTATTATATTTATATTCTTTCTTTTACCTCCATTTAAACGGGGACTTAAATTCGTAAAAAGTCTTTCATTTTGCGATAACTCGAGAATTGTCGACGTCTCGATATTTTCGTCAAGGAAAGATCGACTTCAAATCGGCCGAGAAATCTGTTGTTAAGGAATAATGTGTGAGAAGTAGGGTACCCTATATACCTTGTATACTGTTATCGATGGGAAATACGATATCGTAGCTCCGCATAACAAATTTCTGCATACTATCGCACGTTGAAAATGTGTATGCGTGTTATATATATTTGATATAAATGCGATAGTATATTCAGAAATTTCAGAAATTTATATTTAATTTAGAAATTTTTATATATAATTCAGAAATTTACATATTATTTTCACTGGAATACTCCTAAATTTCATACATGCTTGAAGCTTTTCTTTACCATGGTATATATTGAATAAAATTTATGAGTATTTCAATAAAATATTAAAATTCCAAGTCTGTTTCTCAATACCTTATATTTCTTCGTAATTTAAAAGTAAACAGTATTATATTTACAGAGCGCAGTTGTGACTGACGTAGGATTATTTACTTTTTACAAAACAGGAAAGCCACTAGCAATGTCGAAACAATAATATTTTGAGGCAAGAAATAAAATAATGAATTATAAGAAATCTATTTAAGAGGAAAAGATGTATATTTTAAAAGAAGCTCTCCGAATGCTAATTTCAAGATAAACTATATTATAAAGCCTTTTTAGAAATTGAGTTGTAAATTATTTTAAAAAGTGAGTAGAAGAATCGTTTGTCAAAAAACAAATAAATTTGTGTGTAGATATTTTACTTAGATTAGTAATAAGATACTTTAACAAAAAAAGTCTACTCTACTTTATTTAAAAATACTCTACACTACTTTACAGTGCTTTTCTTGCAAAATAATCTTGTAAACGGTATTTTTTTCAGAACTTTCAAACATTTTATGCTACTTTTCATCTCTCATAACAAAGCAATGAATAAAATAACAAAGATATATTAATAATAGACAAGTTTGAATTCATTTTATGCGCTTTCAATTAATCTTAAACTTTTGACTGACGATATACCATATATAAACTATATGTGCTCTTTGAAACTTAAAGCGAATCTTACTCTGAAAAGTGAAATCGCACTCTTGAAGATCGAAAATTCAGCCGGTCTGTTTTCAAACTGGCTCAATTTCCACTCTTTAGAGTGAGATTCCACTCCAAAGAACGTATAATTAAATACGTAATTACGCAAATATACGCACGTCATGTTCAATACGATTCGGTCGCACTCCCTCTCGATCTGTATCTCTTTCCCCGTCTCACACACGTTAGGGCAGGGGCAGAGGGAGGTATTAGTAGGATGATAGTATTCTCTAGTTACCACACGAAGGTCCACGTTGATTAGCAACTTCCTTCTACGTGTTCCGTGCGTGGTCGTACGTACGCTCGGTCACACGGGAGCGGCGCGTCCACGGGAACGTCGTCGCACGCGGAAGTTTACGCACGAGGACGAGATTAACGTCGTCGTAAAATTAGGATTTATTGGTCGCACGGTGGCGAGGCACACTAGGCGAAACGAACGCCGATAGAAGGTTTCTATGTCGGAATAGAGATTCCGTCCAGGCAAATCAGCGGCGGAAACAAGGCCGCCAAGGTTCTCAGCGAATCCCGAGCGGCAATCGGCTTCAATTTAAACATCAAGTTCGAATAATCGAATGATATTAATTGCGTCTGATTTACCGTTTAACTCGAATGATACGATTCGTATATCAACGCGTATAACGTTCAGTTTCGCTGATTTAAATTAAAAAGTCGGTATAATCTAGATTCTAGATGCTCTGATCTTCTTTAAAAAAAATAAAAAGTTAATAAAAAAATTAAATAAAAGTCAGAGAGCAAATTAACAAATCACGGATTAGAATCTCTCTCTCTCTCTCTCTCTCTCTCTCTCTCTCTCTCTCTCTTTTCAGACTCACCGAGATTTTTCAACGATATTCGCCGCGCGACACTCTCCCTCCCTCTCTCTTTCTCCCTCTCTCTCTCTTTGTCGGCGTTCTCCCGTCCCGTTTATCGATACTTATCAATTATGATACTTATTCAATTAGAATCGCGGGCGCCCGCGAAAGATCCGCGAAGGGATTATTATCGATATCGCGTCGCAATAATGACGACAGTCTCGACGATGCGGGAGACGGGACGCGCCCCGCCAACGAAAAGCACTGACAACGACGACGGCGACGATGATGGGCTGGCGAGCGTTTACGGGAGTGACAGCGCGAGGCCCGACGCCGCATTAGAGCCACGAAGCGACTAGTTACTTCCCTTGGCACTGCGGCAGCATTATACGTTATCGCGTGTACGATATAGGTAGGGTACGTGATCCACACAGCCAGCCGCCGCGGCTGGAAGCGCGTAGATCGATCGGGCGGGGATCGGACACGTCGAGCCGAATGTCGTTCGCCATGCAGAGGCCAGGTTTGCTGCCAGTCGAGGTCTGCCAACCCTCAACTCGATATGCAAAATTTTCTCCTCGTACCGTACGAACGGACAAATTTAATAACATCTCGCCGCCGAAGACAGAGGGTTTCTTTTAACCCTCCGGAACGAACGGTGCAGGGTCTATCGAAAACTCGCTCGATTGTATAGTATATAAAATTTCTTTCTCTTCTGAAGTGTTAAACAATTCAATTTTCCGTATGTCACATCGGCGAATTACAATCATTCTTATTAATTTATAAAATAGACGGAATGGACGGTTTTGCTTTCTAACAATTTAACTAGATACAGATCTGAAAATAATTTGGTTGGACTATCAAAATTATGTAGGACACTCAAGCTGATTGCTAATGTCGAAATTTTTGACAGCATTGCTTATCATGCTCGAGTTTCTACATAATTATTTTGATGGTGTAAATTATTTTTCAGATCGATTCTTTGAACCCTCCGGAAGGGACGGATCTATTGAAGACTTATTCGTAAAGTCTCTTTCTTCTCTTGAAAAAGGGTAAATAATTCAATTTTCAAAAATTTGGGATCTATATTAACTAGTTAAGAACTACAAAAATGAAAATATAACATTGAACAATAAAATATAGCACTTCTCCTGCCAGAAAGGCTAGAAAGATATAAATATCAAAGATCCTTACAAGTTATTTTTTAACAAAAGCAATAAAAAATTGTTTCCTTTTACAAGACGATGTCATCCATAAAAGGTTAATTATAAATCTTTTCCCATCAATTTTAAATATCGACCTTTCTTCGGCAAGAACGAGAGCTCGATGATTATCGTTCATCGCTTCAATTTTTAGAGTCGTATATCTTCTTAAATATAAATTCCATCAAACTTCATTTGGAATCGATGAAAAGAAGTAGTTTTGTAACTTCATTTATTCCCCAAAAGTTTAGTTTGCGAAAAAGCTTTTATTCAATCGTTTTTACTTTGGTCTCTCAATGTTTAAAAAAAATCGACTTTAAGTCGATCAGAGTTTGCCGTTAAAAAAAAAAAATAAAAAGTAGGTTAAAAGTAGAACATGCAGATACGTACTTTATAAATATATATTAAAGGATGTTTACGAGAAAGTTTGGAAAATTAATTTTTTTAGTAGAAATATTGTATTATAAATATATATATAGACTAAGCATGTATTTGAAATAGTTTTTGCAATAAAAGGGTATTTTATATTTTATGACAGTATTACAAATATTATATTTAAAATCGAAAGGTTGAAAGTTTCATGTATTTTGTAATTTAAATAATAAAATTGATCGTCAATCTTTGACATACTTTCAATGTTTCGTTATTAATACTGAAATACAAAATATAAAATACTTTAAAACACAAAACATTTTTACATCGTTTCCCAAGTAAAAGTATTTCAAATAACATGCCCAGTCCTGTAAATATAAATAAAGATAAAAAAACGTAGGAAGTGATATTCTCGAAATCACTCCGTTTCATCGGTAAGAAGTGCGATAATAAAGTTATACGCTTGCGTATCCGTCTGAAAATCGGATTCGTTAGTTTCCGAGTTGGCTTCCATCCTGTACTCTGTTCGCCGCGGGGATCGCTTCCCTGTTTGCCGCACTTGCGCCTCTTTCCTTTTTTCTTTTCCAATACTTACAGCGAGGAAGACTCGAGGAAGGTGCTCGACGCGGCTCGAGGTGATTAGACTTCAGACGGCAGCGATGTCCTCCTCCGAATCCGCGACAGGCAGATCCGCTTGCCCTCCCCCTGTCTCGTCTACATTCTTCATTCGTGAAGCATCGTTCGTCTCTGTAACACAGTACACAGCGCGATTGATTGAACGAGGGTGTGTCGGAAATGAAGGGCGAAACGCTGACGAATGCGCGGGGACCGCGAGCTCGTTATTTGCGGATTACTACTGAAAGAGAGATGAGAGAGAGAGAGAGAGCGAGAGGGAAAGAGAAACGGATGGAAAGAGAGAGAGACAGAAGCAGTGAGGAAAACATATTGCGTTCTACAAGTAACGACAAATTAGAGCAGTCATAACAGTCATAAAAGCAGTGGCAGAAAATAAATACAACCCTGGCCATAAGTAAAAGCAACCTTCAATTTATTGCGTTTCTTGGAAAATGACGATAATAAAATTCAAAGGAAAAGTAAAACAATAAAATTGAAATAAAAATAAATATTATTTTTTAATATATAAAACTTTTACAACAAATATTACTTTTCATTAAAACTTTTACAAATTTATTATCGTTAAACATAGAACGTTTACGTCAAGTAGCGAGGGGTGTTTTATACTTTGGGTTGTAAAACAAATAATAAAGGACGAAGTTCTCTCTATTTGATCAGTGAGACCGTGGTGCCGCAATGTTGAATAACTGGTTACATTGGCGAAGTTCGGTAACGCTCTATTCTATAGTGTCGTGAAAACACGCCGTTTTGCTGCGACAGCGAAAACTTCGTCACCGCGTATCCTCTTTCTCCGTCACATATTAGATTTGATCCCCTCCCACCGCGCCCCGTCGCCGAAACGACACTCTCACATCCGAGAGAGCGCGTCCCTTCATTTCGGCCCGCGGGCGATCTACGGGTTTCGTTATCCGCGAAATTCCGCGTACGTCGCTCCAGAGGATGAGAGCGAATGCCAAAAGCAGGACGTATATATATGGCCTTATTAGAAATTCCAGTCATCCGTGTATTCGCCTTCTCTCTGACAGCGACGTGGAATAGGTATATAAACGGATAAAAGGCACCGAAGGAAACCCGGGGTGAAAAAAGAAAGATTTCCTCCCTTACGCCCTAAAGATGAAGACAATTCGCGATACGTAGAATAACCCAACGTTCTTTTTTTATACATTACTGTAAAAACATCGGTGTGGATTTATAACCCCTGGTGTTATACACGTGTCAGCATCATCACAGTTTGGATTTAAAACCAATGGTATTAAATCCACATCATGTTGGTGATTAATACCAGTATGATATGAACTTATAACTCTCTCTTGATGTTTACATCAGTGTCATGATGTGGATTTTAAACCCATGTTAAATTTATATCATGTTAATGTTAACATTAACACATCAATGTAGGGTGAACTTATATAACTTCTGGTGTTGTATTAACGATGACAATCATATAGACACCATATGGTGGTAAATCTAAACTGATTTTTTTTTTAGAGTGCAGTTCAACAGGTTCAGCTGATGCCTGATTGTGTTTTTTGAAGAACTTTTAGGTTCTAAAAATTCTGAAAAAAATCTAGTATAATTCTAGTACAATTTTTCAACATTTAAGAAATTATATAGACACTCCACATGTTGTTAAATTCACACTGATACTTCATAAAGTGAGATTCAATCAGATCATTGATGTCTAGATGCATTCTTCAAACGGATTTTAGGCTTTCAAAAAAATCTGAAAAAATCTGATACACTCTTTTAATATTCAAAGAATACGATTTTATAATGATATGGCCCGAAATATTTCTCTTTTTCGTACGCGTTCCAATTGGAAAATAATTCAAAATAAAAAATTCGCCTGCATTTTCAAAGTCTCAATTAAACCACGGGAGGATAAATTGCAGTGCGAGTTTTCAGGGCGCACAGATTCAGCTGGCGCGCAGTGGTTCGATTAATTAACGCTCGGCAATTAAAGAATTCGAGTGCCCTTGTGAACTGTTCTTATCGTTTCGCTTCGAAATAGCGAATCTCATTCTATTCTCGTACAAATTACTTTCGTTGAAGTGGCTCCCTTAAATTGGACGTCTCTTTAAGGATTCCGAGAGCGACGGCTGGTGGTTCGACGATATCGGACGGAACGTCTGCGAATTTTCGTTATTACAGCCACACACACACACATACAT